AGATCTTTTATGCAGAAATGCTTAATTGACATTTTTCCGAGATCTTTTCTGTCTTTATTTCCTTCCGAGATCCATTCTGCTAATTTTCCGAGATCTTTTCTGATTTTATCCTGAATATTTGATCGACATTTTTTTCCATATATACTTATATCTGTTAAGTTATTCTCAAAATAACTCTTATTTTGGTTATGGAAACCTTGAAGGTTTCACTCAGAAATCTACGTTGATTGAGATAATATAACCGGAACTTAATTAGAAAAAATTTTCACAAAAAATGAACACTCATATTTTTTAGACGATTTTTTCTACAAGATACTACAACATGTTGTAGTATCTTTTTGATCTCGTAATTTTTTTATTTACTATACAATATCTTTTCATTAAAAACAACAAACAAATATTCTTTTTAATCAACCCAGTGCAAATCTGAATTTGATACGTCTCTCAACTTGAATCAGATTGCAGATCTCTAGTCAAGGTGCCTGATTTTGGTATAATTTCATAAATTGTTATTAGAATTTTGTTGAAAGGTGAGATTTTTGGTTATGTAGGTATGTTGATTCTGTCATTGCGTTATGTTATATGGCATAAAATTTCTAGAATTTTCATACTCGAACCGTTTTATACATTTATCAGGCGTAATGTGTAATGATGTCATCTGTAGAAAGAGCCATCATGATTCGTGATTCCTATTAGAAGAGGAGCAGGTGAATCTCTCATAGATTTTTCTACTTTTTGTTACAATTTTTGTCATCATTTTGTGCGAAAAAAAAATATTCTGCCTATTTATGTTCAACTCTTTCTTTTCTTTTGCCTTAGTAGAAGTTTACGTCAAAAATATTTCTGCTGCGCAATTGGATTAATCAGGATGTAGATCATAAATTTATAAAACCTTTTTTGTTTTCTTGTTGATCACTTACCCTACGATTTTCGTTTACCGATTTTTGTTTCCCGGATTAATAGAAAATTAGAATGAGTGCTCATAATTACATAAAGAAAAGTGTAAGAAATATTGAACTAATTTTATGAATAATTTCATTTTTTAGCTCTGATTGATTGAGAGTTAGAATTAATACAAAGTGTACTAAAATTCTATGTATCGCATTGATATTCTTCAAAGTACTATAGCTGTTTTAGATAGTCTTGTCTTTCTACTTTATTTTATTCATAATCTTTTAATAACTTTTTATCTCTTTAAAAGGAATATTTAGTTATTGAAGCCAATTATACGTCTTTTATTAATCCTACAAGAATGCTAAACTAAGATTCATTTATTTCACTTGAGTAAGATTATAGATTTATTTTATTAGTTTTCTCGTTACCCATTGAATAGATAACCTTTAAATTATCAGATTGTAAAGATTGTTTCTTGAGATTTCTATCTACTAAACAAATTGAAATATTGAAATCGTCACATCTCAACTGAGATACAATTCATAGTTTAATCAAGTATGGTTTCTCAGTTGAGAAACTAATATTCGTTTCTCAACTGAGATATATTTTTGACGCGTGTATTGAAATAAGCTAGTGTGCAGTGTACTAACGATCTATCGTAAGATAGATCGTTAATATACTGCATAAGGTGTATCGTAAGATCTATTGCTATGCTCCTGACATATTGTATTAAGAAAATCTTTTTCGTTACCAACGTACGAATAAAAATGGAAGTGACAGATGAGTTTATACAGTTAATAATTGTTCTTGTTTAAATAGTATTGACAATTGTAGTTCCTCCACTTTTAAAAATAACATCAATCATTTTTATATTTTTGTGATACACTCGGAAATGATGCAATTCGATTTTTAGACAAAAATTCAACTGATAATAATTTAATACATGGTAATAATTGACTATGTAATATGGGAATAATTTCTCACATAGTTAATAGAGATACATCATAGACGACCTAATTCCATTTCATTTATTATTGAATAATAGACCTTAGTACACTGTACACTAGCACATTTCAATCCATGTGTCAAAATTATATTTCAATTGTGAAAATTGGTGAAGTCCATATTTTATAAAATATGTATCTCAGTTGAGTCAAAACTGTTGAAACAATAATTATTTTAAAATTATTTTTATTAAATCGATAAAATTAAAATTTTTAATTCGAGTTATAAACAGTTCTAATTCAAGCACTTTTTATACTCTTTTAGTACATCCGATGAAGATTTAGTGTTTTCTTCTTAAGTTTTAGAAGTGTTTTGTTGTATGAACCAATGTTTCTCATTCACAATAACTTTTTGAAATTAAGAGAGCTTTTTAATGTCATACATAATTAACTCCCTATGATAAAAAGTAATATATTATAAAAGAAAAGTAAAATAAAAATCATTATAATGAAACATTCAATGTTAATATTAAATGTTGACTATGTAGATATCATTAGCCTATTTTTGAGAAGAAATTAGTCCTTGTATATGACGCAGAATGTAGGATACTATTGACATCAAGTTGTTTAAATTATATATGTAATGAATAGTCTTTAATATAATTTATTTATTTTTTATATTTTTTTAAATATTAAATTATACATCGAGTTGATTACACAACTTCAATCGTTGTACAGAAATATAGATATAGAACAGTGAATTTAGTTTTGTAGTAGTTTACTACAAAGCTAAGTTCACATGTTTGAAATCTTTATTCGTACAAAATTGATTTTGTGTTTTTCGATAGTTTTAATTTAGAATACTATAATGGAATATTTTGTATTCCGTTTGTATTCTGAAAGAATAAAGTTTATATCAAATATTAGATATCTATGTATTTAAAAGGGCATAAAAAATGAGAAAATACATTTTCCTTGATCCCTAGAGTTACATAGGTTAGGCATGAATGCCTAGTTCAATGTTAAAAAGTTGACAAAATGAGGTAATTTAATCATTATTCATTCTTGAAATATTATTTTTATTATAGTTGAATTAGTTGACTTTTTTTCTTGAAAAAAATATATAAAAAGATAGGCGTAGAAGTTATAGACATATCGTTATATCTTTTCTATTTAGGTAAAAAATGGGATATATTGAAAATATAACAGTTGAAAATTCATCATTAACAATATCTTCATCATCATCATCATTGATTATTATAGCACTATGGCCAATACGTATTGCCTGTCCCATTCTTATATTATTATGTCCAATAGCAAATCTATTATGTATTCGAGTATTTCAAAGTAAAGAATATGAAAAAAGTTCATCAAAATATTATTTTATATGGATTGCTATTTTTGACACAATTTATGTTATGGTAACAGCTCCATTAATTTTTTTAATAACATTTGAAATCTATATATTAAATAAGGGTATTATCCTTTGTAAATTAATTGTATTTCTTAATTATTTATCCTGTCAAATATCAGCTGGACTTTTAGCATGTTTATCAATCGATCGACTATTAGCAACATCATTTTTTTCATTATATCGATATAATTGTTCACCACATATTTCATTTATTGTTTGTATTGTTGTTATTATCATAATGTCAGTAGTTAATAGTCATTATTTAATTGGTTATAACATTGATATAAAAGGTTTTTGTGTACCAGAACCATTATGGTATCGAACTATTTATTATCGTTTAAAAGTTGTTTATCTATTATCCTATTCAATTATTCCATTTTCTATTATAACTGTTTGTAATTTATTTATATCAATTGGTGTTTGTAAAACAAAAGCAAAATTTCGTCGAAAATATTCAAAAATATTAAGTCATAAAACATTATCTTGTGAACATCCATTAACAAAGGCACCAGTTACAGCTACACATATATCATCAATGTTTGATCAAGTATTTATACCATCTCCAATTCATACTGACAAAGATAGTGAAACAAAACATTTTCTATCATTTAAACGATATTCATCAAGAGCAATGAAAATTGATAATCACACACGTCCACATGAAATAAACGTGTTGATGAAGAGAAAGAAAGAATTTGTTAATAAAACAACAGATACCAATGGTAAATATGTCATGCTACTTACTAAAGGCAATATGTTGTTAGAAAATCATATCCTATTTTCTTTTCCTTTTTTTTATTTTTATAGATGACTGGGAACTTTCAGCACTTACATCAAATAAATTAATATTAAATGACATTGAACAAAGTCAAAAATCGGCAACTATTTCGGTTGACGATAATTCAATAAGATCTACCATAGACATTGATCATAGTAAATCATTTTCCTCAAAACAACTATCCTCTCAATTACCATCATTACCAGTATCACTACCATCATCACCAACATTATCGTCAGCTATATGTTATCGTTCTAGTTTAGAATCTCGAGGTAGTGCTACTCATTTTAAGGCACCTTTGAATGCGCAATCATCAACATCGTCAGCTAAAATGTGTATGCAACTTCAAATAACTATCAGCCTATTAGCTATTAGTATTTCGTTTATTTTTTGTACATTACCAAATTGTATATCAACTATTATGATTGAAAGTAATACAAATGACAATCGTACAAGAGAATTTTGGCAAGCAATGAATTATTTTTCGCTTGTACCCTTATTAATTACACATAGTGTTAACTTTATATTCTATTATTTATCAAGTCACATGTTTCGAGACAGGTTTAAAAAATTATACATAGAATAATTATTTGTTTTATTTTGCCAAAAACTGACGATTCTTTAGGTTCTTACACATACATAGAATAATTATTGACCAAATTGTTGCGCAATAAAACACATGAAATTCAATTAGTATCAGACAAATATCTTGTTCGTTGGATCATAGGAAAAAAAAATCTTAATGTAAAGACTAAATTTGTTATATACAACAATTATTAAATTAGAAATAATTTTTATATTTAATTAAATATGGCTCGTAGTTTGATCCGTATTACTTAATCCCATCTGTAAAAGAATCTTAAAAATAATGTTTTTTCCTTTTTACAGTACGTGCTGTTTATTCTATTTTTTGAATTCTTCTATCTTAATCCTATGCGATGTAAGAGAAAAATAATCAAAATTCTATTTGCTGATCCTATTTATGATTAATTTTATTAGTAAAAATGGAAGAGAGACAACATGTAATTGCGATGTGACTAAAAAAATGTAATCATCTAATTGTCTCTCACGGAAAATGTTTTAGCCCAACATCAAAAATTAAACTATTAAATGATGATATTAACATTTGAAATAGTGATATTTTTGTCTATCGGGCCTAAATGAGAAAGAAATGGATTATCTAAGAATAGTCTGTGGTAACAAAAAAAAAGAAGAAGAAGATCGTTTACAATATTCATGGATAGAAACTATTTATCATTCTTATAACAAGTGTGATGACGAATTTAGCGGAGAATAAGTAAGAGAGAACGACAATTATTGAAGACATTGCAAACAATTTATATCACTATATATATATATATATGCATACAGTTCAAAACTCATCTGTGTGTGTATCTTAACCTTTGTTATACGTTAAAAGAAACTATTATTTTTTATTCAAATTGTGAACAATCAAATTCAAAGAAAAAGATTAACTTCTATCCATTTCAAAACGGAAGAGAAGTGCATATCTTTTAATAACGTTTTATAGATGTGACATTAAGATATAATCGGTATTTTACTTTCTTTTATACTAATATATATATATATATGTCCGTCTAAAATGAATGAAAACAGAAGTTATCGACAAGTACATATTGTGCGAGAATATTTGTTTTATGATAAAAATGAATATTTGTTTCGATAACCTTTATGTTGAACCATGAAATATATAACTTTTAATCAAAAAATCAAGTCAAATCACTTGAAACTTTCGGACAACATCTACTTATCTCAACTTACATGATAATATTGTTAAAAATTGAAAAAAGGGTGCATTTTTTAAGTTAAATCACTAGAAAATTTATCATTAAAGAAAGAATCTTTTCAGTATTTGTTTTACCACGCATAAGTCAATAATACTTCGACTTCTTCTGAAAGTTCTTTCTTCCACTAGTTAATTTTGATGTATATGACTGTTTTATTATTCTACAGCAATGGTCTAAAATGTGATATGATGATCAGATATTTTCACTTTTATCCTAAAACAAATATTGTCACGAGATGTAGACCGTTCACTAATTTCTGCTTCCATTCGAGGATTATTCATGCCCTGACTAGAGAAAGTCGAAAAACACAAATCTTAATCTTTCATCTATGCAACGTTATTCGAAAAACATTCAATTTTCTTCCATTTTGAAATGAATAGTAGTCAACTGTTATTATTTATAATTAAATGCCATTTAATTGCAAAGCTAAGTTCATATGTTCGAACCTGTATTCGTACACAATTGATTTTTTGTGTTTTTCAATAGTTTTAATTTAGAATACTATAATGGAATATATTCAAACAGAATAAAGCTTATATTAAATGCCATTTGTATTTGAAAAAGTTTATTTTCTATTTGAGAGTAGCCCATGTGAGTGTTTTACGCATGTCAATTTGTTATATTTCTGTTAAAAAACATAAACGTCCTTTACAATTTCCGACAAAAACTAATTAATTTCAAATTAAAGAACTTTTCAAGTGTACATCCTTATTGTACGGATGTGGATGGAAATTTTTGAACATCAAAAGGTAATCAGTTCAGTGCGTCCAAAACAAAGAAAAATTTTAATCAAATGAGGATATAGTCTTTATACGATATTAAAATGTCATCTTTTGATACAGTGAGAAATTCTACAAAACGTTTTGCTCTTAAAACTCTTCTTTTTTTTCTATTTTCTTTGTAAAGAGAGTTTGAACAAAATATCTTGTGTAATACCTGACACTTTTTAACAAGGTCTTTTTAAGATCAAACTATTCCATTAAACAATGAAATATGAAACAAATATCTTTTACAAACGTAATCTAAACGTTTGTTTAATAAACAACAAATCGAGAAAGAACTTATTACAAGTTGTGTGTAATTGAATTTTTAAGTGTAAAAAGGAGTATAGAAAAAGAGACAGACAAAAACAAAGGAAAACCTAAATCAACAAATAATGAATATTTGTTGTAGGATTCAATATTTTATTGTGATGTAAGAGATATATTTACGCAGTAGTTTTGAAAGAAACAAAATAAGAGTATCGTCACAATTTACAAATGTATTAATCAAAGAGAGTCTACCAGGGAATATGACGTTTAGACGTAAATAATTTAATTACATAAGTATCGTAGAAAAGACTAGAATTCAATTATTTTATTTTTCAACATTTCCAAAAAGCTTTCACAGAAACCATGAAAATCTATATTTAGGGCAAAAAGTGATACAAATTCTTAAAATAAACACTTTGGACTATTCAAATTATAAAATCAATATGTTTGACGAAAATTGACTCTTTTGATGGGAAGGGGGCGTTAAAATTAACTGATGTTATTTTAGTCTTTGAAAAGGATCGATTATCAGCATGACAAACATTTCCAAAAGTTGTATCTGTATCATTCACAGATCATAAGTAATTATTTTTTTACGAGAGGAAACAACAGATAATAGTTTATATATAGAATTAATTAGCTTCTAACCAGAAGTCCCACAGGGTACCCAAGTTTCTTAATAATCAACATCAATTTGTGTTAATATGCAAGTTTTTGGATAAAAAAACAGCAGGAAACATATGTATGTATTTGTTTTGGTTTTGTAGTCTATGTGTGTACAGTTAAATTATCAATACCAAAAAGCTACTGTACACAAAAAGACAAATTTTGATTATGACTGACAATATAAAAATAGATTGTTAAATTTTATTCCAGATATTGAAAGAAAATTGTTTTGTCCATGTAACTTGAAGATGATCAAAAAGTCACTTTCACAATCAGTTAGAAATTCATGTTTTTAATATTGTTAACCGGAGAGTTCTATTATACTAATGATTTTCGATCAGTATTTCTTCCAGCTACATCTTATTTATGTTCGCAAACACGACTTATTTTCTTGTTTATTTTCTAAGCCTTTTCATGTGTCTATTCCAAATGCTTAGATTATGTACAAAAACATTTTATCTATTTTTTTTTTTTTAAAGAGTAAAAAGTAAACAAATAACCGAAGACAATGAAAAAAACTATGTTTCGTAGCAACTTCGTATTGTATCAGAAGAAGAAAGAAAACACTTTACTAGCTTCTCAATGTTTCACCATAGACCAAAAATAACAAATAACAATAAAAAAATAAATATAATTTCGTTTACATATGTATAGATATATATATCAATAAGAAAACATAAAATACAACAAAAAAACTTTTCGTTAACCGGAAGATCATCTATGAAAACAGTTTCTTTGGTTTAAGACTTATCACAGAGAATAGAACCTTGCCAATTTAACATAAGAAAATCAAGCTTTCGATTAACTCGATTTAAAAAAGAATATTAGTGGTAAATTATTAATTAACCAACATTTTTAAAACAATTCGATCTACTCCTAAAACCAAAAGAAAATCCTACGACTGCATTCGAAAAACCACATTATAAGAAAAGAATGTGTGTTAAACAAGCATTCAGCAAGTCTACGTATATCTGCCGTAACATTCACATGATAGTTCTACAAAAGCCTATAGATCCTTTCATTTTGAGCAGCAAACTTGCATATATCTATCAACGGATTCCCTTTTTTATTCACCTTTTTCTTTTAACTACCTTACAATAATACAGAAAATATTTTTCTCGATGAATACACATCCACATTCTTGTGCACTCGAGAATTTAAAAACAAAGGGATGACCTGTCTGATCATCATATACAGGCACGCCCATGGAGCCTTTAGGTGAGGTTCTAACAGGCTAGACACTAAGAGTTCAGACAACATCGATTTAACTCTACACATATTACATAATAGAATATTGAATACTTGCATACTCAAGGATCCACTATTCTATTCTTTTGTTATACCTCTGCGAGAGACATACGACATCGTTTATTGACAGTCAGAGGCATCGCTATGAGCAAGCTAATCAGGCACCATACCACATTTTTTAGGTCAACATACACTGACATGCCTGTCGATGTTCAAAAGTTGGACAGACTTATTGCAGTCGTTTCAATGGTTTGCCTCGTTGTACCTTGCAGATCTGTGTAGGACGATCTCTCGTACTTTTTTTCTTGCATACTACAGACGTTTTTCTTCTGTAGAAAAAAAAGGATAGACACCACGTTCTTCAGAAACGCCACAATTTGAATTAGAGTCACTGTGAGCATATTCTTTCAAAAGTTATTTACTCACACTTACTTGTCTATTCATTTGATTGTTGTTGTTGTTGATGGAGATGATGTTGTTCGATGAAATTTAATTTATCTTTTATTAATAATAATTCATTCCATTTCGATCTAATATTGTTTACTTTTAGTACTATATCTTTTCGTTGATGGTTAATATCTTTAATTGTTTTAAAACTGAATATAACTGAGCTAACAGCATAAATACAAATGAAACATAAAAATGTATTATTTATTAACGATGAATAATAATTTTGATTACGTATAATCTCTAAATTATTATTCGAACAATATTGTTCTTGACTAAATGATGAAAAATAAGAAGCCGATGATGATGAAGAATTAAATGAATCAAACAATAATGACATAATAAATTGAACTAGTCGTAATGAAATTAATTTATCGTAATTATTAAAATTATTACAACAAATATTGTTCGTACCAATATCAGACGTTTCATTTATAAAACATGCTGTTTGATGTCGTTGTCGATGTTGCTGTTGTTGTGAAAGAAGAAAAATAGTAATAGTTAGTGTACTTGAAAATAATAAAACCGATATTATTGTTGTACGGTTTTGAATGAAATATTTTAACCACATTTTAATAATAGATGGGTGAAAAAAAAATTTATTCTTGAATGAAATCAACATGAATGAGAGTAGATGAAGGACAATGATTGCATTTTTAACACATATACACACATACATGCAAAGCAAAGCTTGAGATGTAGGCAGATTAAAACTACAAACATAATTATATTCAACGTCGTCACATATGCACATAAACATAAACTAAAGAACAATGATACGTACGTACATCAACTATGAAGCAATCATTAAAAAACAACAAAAAAAAAAATGCGCATAGTGATGAGAAGAGAAAGCAAAGACAATGACGGTATTTTATTAATATGTAAAGAAGAATGATAATAGAAAAAGCAGCAGGCTTAGCAATAATAACACATTATTTATACGTGTGAGTAAGTCAAAATAATCATTTATTAGAAAAATAAAAGATAAAATCAATAACTAATATACCGAATGGTAAAAGAATAATTGTTTCTAATATTAAACCTCTCACTTTTTTCATCAAGGTATAAAAAAAAAAAAGGTATACGTCAGGATAAAAATCTTAACATGATTTCTCAATATTAATATTAAGAGAAACTATGTTGCTCAAAAATGAATATTTATATAATGAATAAATAAATCTTAAAATCTCTCTCTCTATCGACTGAAATATTCTCATCTAATTGACTATCTAATGTAAACGTAATCTATAAAGCATATGGATTTTATCTTAATTCATAAAACAAAACAGAGTACAAGTTACATGCACAAAATGATTAAAGCACACTACACACACATATAAAACTAAACGAAAAATACACACTATCAATCAATATTGTTCGATTGACTATATCCTCTACGTTAGGCTCTCTCTCTCTCTCTTTCTCTCTCTCTCTTTAGTGCTCTGTAATGTGTGATACAGATTATTACAATGAGAATAAAAATGTTATAAATAGGTTAATATGTCTTTTCAATGAGCAAAACTTTTTATAAATATATTATAACTCTCAGTTAATGGTTTATTTTTTGCTCTTGTCAATAATCACAAACTGAATTGGATTTGACATTTAGTGAACAGCTGCTTGTCTCTTTTCCACTCATTTTTTTCTTTTCTTTTAAGGTGTTTTGTTTTCTCTTTTTTTTTTGTCACCATGAAATATTGACCTTTCATATTTATCTATGGTTTTACTTACCATTCTTTCTTAGCACTCGTTGAGCTCATCGATTCATTCAATTGACCACGAGGCAATAGAGTTTTACTATGGTTTAGCGATGCTGACATCTACGTAGAAAAGTACGAGAAGGCGATAACAATCTAAGACAAACGGATATAACACCTTATTGTGTTAAAGTCTCACTTTTATTATCATGTCACGGAGAGATTCATGAAACATCAAAAATAGACAATATCTGATTTCTCTCAATTTATAGTCAGTGATAACGTAAATCGATTCAGATAGGTACGAGATAGTTTAAAAGGAACGAAGAAAATTCTTGTTCTGTTAAAAATCAGAGAATTACATCCAATTTCTATAAAATTGAATAAGTGGAGCTATCCCGATCGTGTCATCTCAATAAGCAAATTTTTCTTCTCTCTTTAGGACTTTAACTCGAAAAAATATCAAGATATTCACAGCATGAAATTTCAGAAAGTCTTATGTCAATCTTATCATTTTCAACAAAAGCATCAAGCCAAAAATTTAAAGCATAGCAAAAAGAAATAGTTTCCGTCTATTAAATATGTATACGTATATATATCTACATAATTCTTTTGAGTATAACGAAAAACTATCGTCAAAGCAAGGGAAAATATCTGACATCGATGATTATATCATAAAAAGAAGACACTATACATTGGGACGTGTAAACAACGAAGAAGTTATAAACAAAAAATTAATCTTTGTTGATTCATCGTTCTATTTGATTGTATTAAGAAACAGAATGGAATTTGTTTACAACCATTTTGACTATAAGTAATATTATCTTTACTCACATATGGTAAGAAATTAAAGATTATGTTTCAATACAATTTTTGAACATGCTTACGTTTTAGTCATTCAAATTCAATTGTTTCTAATGTTGATAATGACATCGATCAAGGTTGAAAACGAACATTTTTACTTTTATATTTATCTTATCAAATAAATAAATAGAAATCAATATGATATTTTGTGTAGCTTTTATTCTGCTGATTGCTTAGGCAATATGTCGGAACAAATAATCGATCGAATAAACAAAGTCAATACCTAATAGAGGAAGGAAATACTAGAAAGAGTTTGTATACATTAATCATTGATATGATTATCATATGAAATACTTAAAGCGGATTTTGAAACTAAAACTATATATTCTAGCCATATTAAATGATCATTAAAAACAAAATATAAATTAAAACAAATGTGTCTATTACATTATCGAACGATTTTTCTGTTACAATTAAAGTACGCAAAGTCCTAAAATAAATCGAATTAAAAATTGAGACTCTCCGTACTTTGACTATAGTAGAATAAACGTTCGTTGACTAGAATTGATGAAGACTATATTGCAGAGAACATAGTTCACATTAGAACTAAAGACATTTGCTACCTTCTTACAATGAAGTTTCAAATATTTAACGAAAAACAAAATGGGCAAGAATAGTAATGCATTGACTCTTACACAGTGAGAGTTAGTAGATTTTCCTGTTTAATAGGTATAATCTCTTTGTTCTCTTATGTAGAAATCTTCTATCACATTTTGATAGTTGATTGCACCAATACTGTGATTGAAAACATTTTATACTAAATAAAGTTTCCATAGAGCTTGATCAAGCTGCATGCTACAATCTCTTTGCTCGGAATAACAGCTGCACAGAAAAACATTTTTTCAGATTAAAATTAAAAACCAAGATTGAAACTGTCGAGAGCCAAACGCAACAAAGTTGATCAATCATGTTTTTTGTAGTTCTTCTCTTTCTCAAACTTGATACAAGATAGTAGAGTTCTACCAGTTAAAAAGAATGCAATTGATTCTCATTCTCATTGTTTTTCTCTATCTATGACTCATTTTTACGAAACGATTTCATAGATTTTCTTTTGCTATAATGTAAAAATGAGTCATAGATAAAGAAAAAACAATGAGAATGAGAATAGAATGAATGAGAATCAATCGTATTCTTTTTAACTGCTAGACCTCTAGTATATAGAAAACAAATAAACCCAATGTAAATCAAAAGATACGTCCATCCGATCTCAGGTACAATATGATGTACTAAAGTAACGAATGATTCCAGAATAACCTTTCAGAAATATTGACGAATTTATCACTCGACACGCGATAACAATTCTTGCATTTTGTTCGATTGTTGCAACTACATTTGATTTGCGACGACCAAGTCCGACATTTCCTCTTGTTATTTTAAACTTTCTATTTTATTAGTGATTTCAAATCAATGAATTAAGATCATTTGAAACAAAATATTTTTTATTTCCTAACACTCTGTTTGAAGAATTTCCCCCAAAAGTGGTTTCCCCCAATACGGTGACTATTTTGTGACGTTCTTATTGACTCAATGACCAAATCATTGCTAATATCCTGCTCAAAGCTCCAATCTAAATGCTGTAGGGCAGCTCTATAAGTAACCAGCATGATGAGAGCAAGTGCTACATCTAGCTTTAAGTGTTAATTTTACTCTACATTTTTACCAAAGTATGGAGACACTGCATTAAACAACGTTGGTCTCGTCTAGTATAGTGTCCATCGGGAAAAATACAGTTTCCTTGACTTTAGTCTACGCACAGTGGGCATTTAGGCGGCATTTTCTGAAAAAATCGTAGGTACGAAATTTTCTGTTTTGAATAGCGGTATATATAGTGTAAACAATGCCCTATTTAACAGTGAAAATTTTTTTGTTCT